TCAACGGTTAAGTCAATAAAAACGAATACATTCGTTATAATTATGCATAAGAACTGCAACAGAAAATGCAAACCTTCATAAAAAATATTTCTTTAACTCGCTACTCACCTTAAAGTAGGAAGAGTAGTCTCGGTGGCAGTGACCGGTGTAGTAATGGTCGCCACACTGTGGCCGATTTTGACCGCGGCAGCACCGACCAGTGACGCCTGTTTATAGCCAAAGAACCGGACTTGTACGCCAAAGTCGTTAGCTCTACTCTTACAATCCCAGAATTCCCCGATACCATGGTAATCATAGGATATACCTAAGGAATGTTATGATGGATTTGTTATGAGAAAGTGCTTGCTTTGAGTGCATTTCAATGTAATATAAACACAACGCAACAATAATTTTACACTTGTTTACCCTTATTCACTTTTTCTTGTGAAGAACATTTATTTTAGAAGACGTTTGGTATTATCAGGTATTACGTTGTTATCATAAATGAATGAAAAAAGATTACAAGAAATGCATTCTTTCGCATAACACATTTGGGGAAAAAACTTTCATGCAACTGTATCACATTTAGGTTTCATAAATGTATACACTATATTTCAAATAGGAACGATCTAAATACAACAAAAATGCAATTATAAATGCCTACCGTCTGCTGTCTGTAGGTGAGGATCACCTCCCATGTTCCTTGGCATTCTGACATTACAACAGACGCCAGTCCAAAACCGTGTGCAAACGCACCTAGAGCTACAGAAGTAACTATGAGGGGTGCAAACGCCGTTGCCGAAACATTCTAAAATAAACAGACACATTACAATTTGTATTTTGTAAATGTTTAATAAATTTAAATACATGATATCATTTAATCTAAAACAATTCATTTTTTGCAATGCAATGTCTTATATTTGTTAAGGCGGTCCTTGTTTTATCCTATATTACGCGTCAAGCATAAGTGAGAGATGGCATATGTCCAAGTAATATGACAACTTAATTGTAACAATAAGATTTAAATAATTGTTAATATTGCACACATATAAGATATAAATATTTATACTTAAACAAAGCGTTTTGGAGATTCAGTCAGTATTTTCAAATCTTTATATAGTGCATTAAAATAATCTTGACATTTCTACTTATGAAACATTACGTTTTTACCTTGCAACCCGTTGTCTGTCTGTAAACTACAGGGTTCACAGTCCGGCTGGTCACACTGCTCTCCACGTCGGCCTCGTACACAGGCTGGGTACAGTCCGCACTGGGTCTTCTCACGACAAACACAACGACAGTCTTCCCACACGGGCTCGTAGGCAGAATCACACACAGGGCAACTAGAGGGATCAAAGACAATATTCATAGATTTGTTTATAACTTTGTCTGTTTCATTATCCAATTCTGATGGCTTATCTACATTGACACAAAACATTATACCAAAAGGCTTGTTCACATACGTGTATATTCGTATATACTCCAAATTATATAACAAGGGACCCTTGCACACATTGTATTAACCGCAATGTCTATATTATGTTCTCACACGCCATTGGGGCAGTTGCACGCGTAAAAAGCTAAGTCTGGTGTGTAAAATGTCATAGCAGCTCCTCTAAGATCCCATATCAAAGGAGATGAATCGATTCTATTATGCAGGCAGCAACAAACTTACATGTCATTCGGGCAGTCACACGTTCCGTCACTAGATATGAGCGAGTCCTGACAGTTGTTACATTTGCATGGGCAATGACAGCCACCGTCTGGTTTAATGGTACCGTCATCTCCATTTGCACACTCACAGCCACACTACAGAAATGCAGTAAATAGTGCTGATATTAATTACATTTATACGTTTAAATATTGCATATTTGTGTTGTTTTTATGTCACAAAGGAAAGATAACAGAAATCAATGGTATTTCTCTATATTGTACGAAATAAAAGTAAAAAAAACTTTCTTTTTGCTTTCACAGTTTCCGATTACCTAATGTTCCTTTTCTCAAAGCAAAATTTGACTGAATCACAATATGCAACTATACTGCATTAACCAAATCTAAACTTACGACCTAAATCGGAAGCGAACACTATATCAGGACACTGTAAATATATACCGTGAATATATACTGTGAATATATACCGTACCCAACACTTTCCGTCCATGTCCATCTCTCGTGGCCAGCCGTCCGCGCAGTAACATGGACATGCAGGCTGGGAAGGGTCCTTGGTGACCACCTTCTTAGTTTTACCATCTGGACACATGTCACATTGGCACGAGTTGTCATGCTGTGGATTAATACAATCTTAATGTAGTGTTTCACTTTTCGCTTACATAATACGAATAAAGACAAAGCCACGTTTATCCAATCATTTTTAAATACACGAATTTGGATTAACGGATTTGGCTGACACCGCAAATGCCATACGCACTAACATCCATGTGCAACATTTATTTATTTATTTATTTATTTATTTATTTATTTATTTATTTATTTATTTTGCACAAATATGCGTACTGGGGAGTATATTCTTTATATATAATCAATGAATTTGGCCTGGTTGTTACACAATTGTAATTTGCGCTTTCTCCAACTCGAAGAAGGTGAAAAAACATGCGGGTCAGAATCTTTATACCGTGAAAATTACCTTAATACTGCTATTTCCATTGGGACAAGTACAGCGATCAGGATCAAGATGACACGTGTTAGCTGACAAGGCTGGTTTACAATACCTGCAATAAACACATTGTTTATTATATAATTGATCTCATCACAACCTTAGAAACAGTCGGAGAATGGATAATTTGTTGGGGACCCCTTCAGATAACTCATAAGTAAAATAAAAAATGACTTGAACCCAATAAAGAAGTGAAAAAGCAATAGTCAGTATACTATATCTATAGACATATAAATATATCAGCCATATCCAAATAAAATAAAATTTGGAAAAAACAAAGCGATTGCCATCAAGACGAAGAAACGCTTTGAGAAAAACGTTGTATCATCCACTAGTACATGGCAACCCATAACGTTTGACCGGAAAATACAATTAGAAATGAAAATGCTATTCCATTTATCCGAGCATTAAATATATGGTGTGTTACGAACCCCAACTGCCCAAAGTAAATACTTTTGGGCCCACTAGCTTCATTTTCCTTGCAAATCATGCCATGATTTGAAGATTTACAGCCAAACGTTTATCCTATCCATGTGATGAGTTGGCCAGCCAATAAGAGCCGCCCTCAAATTGACACCCACTCTCTTGTGACCTTGACTGTTACTATCAAAGGAAAACTACGCGTGTGAATACTGCTGTGCAACCAATTCAATCCCATCAAAAACAAGTCATAAACCTACGCTATAGTTTGTACCGAACCAGGCACAAACACGCTGTCTTCGAGGCTTGAGAAAAGCGCCCACGACAATTTTAAGCGAAGCCACCCAGCGTCATTTCTGTTCCCCGGACCCGCTCTGTGGACCACAAGGTGGTCGCCTTCACGTCCGACACAGGCATTAGAACACGTGGTTATGTCTAAACTGTCCGTGAGAGGAGCTGTAGTCGTGTATGTGATGGTCTCCGAGTGACTGCTGACATTGGGATCTGAAACAAAAACGGTATGTTCCAGAATACTTGTATCTACAGTATATTAATGCGTATGAGTAACATATCAAGCGCATGTTAACGTGCATCAACGTACCGTGTAGCGTGCATCAATGTATGGGTAGGTATGAGTACTGTATATTAGCGAGCACCACGTATGGGCGAATGTGTTTCTTAGGCCTATATGAGCGCGCAAGTACCGCTTTTGAACCGCAGCAACGGTTGCCTGCGTAATCGAAACTTTGACCACGTAGGTCTAACGAACTCCTTATAGGAGTATGTGCACATTTTTTCATACGTTAGTGCTACACGCTTGAGTGTGACAGTGCTTAAATTAAGCGGCTGTTGGCTACCGCCGCTGCCCACGTGGTTCTGAGTGGACGATATAGTGGACACTATAGATAAAACGCTTTTCAAACAAACGTATGGCTGCCTTAGAGGTATATAATGGGACTCAGTAATATAAACACATATAAAGTGTACCATGTATTTCATACCATGTTTTACTGACTGGACTTTGACATTAAATAAAATTGCGCATTCTTACCTATCAACTTATTTAGAAAACGAAGACTCAGCGCAGGGCTAACAAGGCTGTAAACTATTGTATCAGAGATAGCGGGAAACTGCACGTGCAACGCGGGTTCAATCGCAACCTTTATGTTGACATTGCCCATGTCGTCTGCGTGCTGTATGTCATGTGTCACGTCGGTCACCTGGAAAATTGATAAAAAAAGATAATTCTTAAACGTGTTCCCCATCAGTCCCATCACCCACGTCCACTTTCAAAGCTTAATTTTTCTTTCCATTTTTAAACTATATACAACGTATAATGCGCTACGAATATATCTTAAACAGCAATTATTTGTGTCCTTCCACCTTCACCATTTCGACTTCTTCTTGGCAACTAAATTTTACGTTTTACGTGTATTTAATACTTATAAATATGCACATTAACAAATACTGAATAATTAAATTAAGTGTGGTAAAACCTCAGCCCCGCCTTACAGCAGCTCTGGGAAATTGCTCCCCGCCGGCTCCATATCTCCAAGTTGCACCTAGAGTTTGCCGGATCCGGCCTCGAGAATGGTGTCGCAATATGCCGGTGCCCTAGAAAAAAGATAAATTTTGTGATGATCAAAAATCGAAAAACTTACAAACCAGCAAATAATTCTTTCTTTATTTGTTTTCTGCACTCAAATTTATCAGGATTTGTTTTTCCAACAACAGCTAAAACTGGTTAATATCCACTCCAACTCATAACTCTTGATAGAGTGATTCTATTCCAATGTATGAACCGTATGTTTCGATGTTCACTTGAAATGAAGTGAAACTTGGGTAAAATAAAAAATATATTAATTTGAATAAATGAGATACATCTATTAAACTGATGTGGCAGTATCCTTAAACCAGTTGTTCTACGTTCTGATCGTTACACCCAACATAACGTTGTCAGTAACTCACCTGGGTGGCTGCGGTGAAACTGTACTTCATGCTAAGAAGAGCGATATTTAAGGGCAAACAGATGTCTTGTGAAATCGCCAGGCAGTACACTCCCAGAGATGTACGTTTAGGGACGAGGTAATGATCTTCAGTTATTTCTGGGGATCTACAAAAAACGGACATGCAAATAAATTAGTTACTTTGATAAAATTCACTTCATTATTATTATTATTATTATTATTATCTAAAAATGTTGTGATTTATAACACGAAGTAAATTATAAAACAATGACTCATTTCGGTACTTTTGCATTATTATTATTATTATTATTATTATTATTATGTACACTAAGTGACCATACTTGATGAATGCCTCATAACTGCTGTTAATATTGTAATCAAGGTTGGCATCCAGTTGGACACCTATCTTCTGTGCTTTGGGAACTGTGGACTGTAGATTGAGCTCCAGTCCTGCCTTCACCAATATATCCATATCAACGGTTAGCTGCTTTTGTAAAATTGAAGGTGACTGCAAAACAAATCGTAGTCAAGAATAGTATATTATATGCAGGAATGAAGGAAATAAGGTAAAACGTGGATATGCTTGGTTACATCAAACAATGCAATATGAAACAAAAATTTGTCATATTAGAAATGCCACCTATAATTTAGCTTTGAAAGACTATGCAAAAACACGAATTGGAACCCAACATGCGGTAGGTATTACTGTTGCATTTGCTGTATCTTTACATATGTGCCAGAACTATGCTACCTAACATGTATATGCCACACATGTAAGTACCTCAAGCAAATCTCGCGAACATTTTTAAACACTTTAATAGTACAAGACTAACCCCAAACACCGCCTCCTTTTTCAGTGATGTAAATATGCCGTCAGTGGAAATTTCGTTGTTCAGCCGTCTGTCGGAGTGGAAAGCAGTGTAAGGAGCAGAGGTCAGCACTGTGTCTGTGGTTATATCCTGGACTTGGATACATTCCAGGAAAACGTAGTCCCCTTTGGCAAACCTCGAAATAACCTGAACAGAAAAATTGTATATGCGACATCTCATAGACACATTATGTTTGGTACCCAAATGCATCAAGGTAAAACTGGCGACTACTTGCTATTTATAATTGTTTTTCATTATATTTTCCATCAACTTATATGCACAATATTGGAATACAAGTAACGCATCAATGGTGAATGGTGAATGGTGAATGGTGAATCGGGAAGAGTCAAACTGTGGAATTGATATCGCAATATTACGCCATACAGGTGTACCTGACCAAGAAATGCACCGGATGTTCGTCCTGGAATAACGTCACCCTTGACTGGTGTCGCCGTCTGTTGTCTCACCGACTCACTAATGCGCAGGCTTCTGTCGTTATGTTCTCCGCCGTGGCAGTACATTGTGTTAGATGTGGAGACAGGGGCCGCAGCAATGAAGCTAGAAAAAAACCTGGAGCTTATACGTTTAGCACCTTTTCTTAATCAAACTATATAAAGTAATCTGTGTGCCTGAACAGCAAGCATATATAAATGTTTTCAAGTGATGATTTGAAGAGTTGTGAAAAAGGAAAACTTATAATTTTCTAATGGACAAAATTACAAAATAATTTCTTTTGAGATGGTAATGATGTCCAAGTTACAGAAATCACTACAGAAGAGGACCCACATGACAATTGTGACGTACATTACGTAGTGCACTTCGAATCATTGCAGTTTAGCTGGGACAGAAATTGCTTAACTACTAGTACAAGTAGTAGTGCTTTACTGGGAATCCACGCTCGGTTCAAATGCTTCATTAAACAAAGAGATATCACATGTATGAAGGAGTATAAGGTGAGATAGAAAGCAGCTATGCATCATACAGTAATATAAAATAATACCACTTACTTAAATGACACAGTCTCACTGCACGTCTTCATTTTAGCGTGGTACGTCACAGCATCGGAGTCTGCGACCACATCCTCTACGTCCTCAAGGAAGCCCTGGCTTTTAGTACCGGCTACCACATCGCCAACGCTAATACCTTGTGACGCACTTTTTGGTAGCAGGATATACTGAGACGCAACAGGTCTTTTGGTGACGTTGTACCAATGTCCAAGGCATTTGAAGACATTATC